CCCCAAAACCCCAAAACCCCTTTATGCAGATTTAAAACAAAATTTGTAGAAGTAAACTTGCATGAATTCTAATAAAAAAATTCTATATTAAATATAATTAGTATCTTAGAATGCAAAAGGATAAAGAAGCGTTATATCAAATTAATAGCTCTCTTTTTGAGGAAGAGACATCTATTTTAATTAAAGCTGAATCTAATGAAAGAACTTCTCGAGTTAGTTCCACAATGTCTGCTTAATAAGTGGCTTCGGCTTAATAAGATATAAATAACCTGCCTAAAACTAGTGAGGACTCTGATATTCAAGAGGAATTCTTTGAGAAAAATGATGATAACAAGGATACTGATCAACCTTAAGTTCCCCTAAATGATAATCTTCAAGTTCTTGAATTGGTGGAGGATATCTAGCAGCTATTCAATTATGCTGTGCATGCTTAAGTTTTTGTAACAAAAAATAGTAAAATTGGCCTCTGCTCCAGAAATTAGTTTGCATTAATTCTCAGAACCAACTTACTTGTCTTCATTTGCTAAGAGGTATGCTTGGGAATTTTGATATAAGATACTTACTCCAATTTTAATTTCTACAAATGTTATCAAGCTGAGTACTTGACATTAAGATATCTCCTATTGAGCATTAATTACTATTTGTTTTGTAAAGACTACAGATCTGTTAGCTAGTCTGTATTATTTACTTAAAAGCTTCATATTGAAAATCAGGTGAGAAATGGGCAGGATCCTTAACTAACAGCTTGGAGTAGTGTTGACTTGTGGAGCACCTTGAAACTGTTTTTTGCGGTATTAAATTAAGGTATAGTTGCAGCTATTATTTGTTCCAGTAAGTTAAGCGATGGTGGTTCTCTTGGTCTGATAACTAATTTTTCAGCAGTTCTTATTGTATGTGAGCTTGATGATATCTTTTACAGTGTTGTTAAGTCATCAAAGTTAAAGAAAGAAATGAGACTAACAATGGTGAAATAATTCTAGATACTTAGAAATGAAGCTATTGCTCAATTTAAACTACTTCAAGATCCAGAAATAGATGCAAAAGTTACAGTCCTAGATTAAAGTAATGATAAAGATCTTTCTGCTACTGAAGCAGCAAAATAGCAAATTGAGAATACCTCTTATGGTCCAGTTGATGAAATAAAAGCTAAAAGAATTATCCAAGCTATATAGGGAAATGTTCTAGTAATGAATGATTTATCTCAAAAGTTCAAACATCTTAATCCCGCCAAATTGAATATGATCTTACAAACAACACCTGATTAATTTAACGTTAGTACAGAGTAGAAACTAGAGGACAAATTTATGACAGTAACAATAGATGAGACAAAAGTAAATGGCAAGTATCTTAACCTTTTGCCACCATCGTATGTTTGCAAATTTGTTTTTCTTATGAGTTTTGCCTACTTGATCTATAGTGATGTTTAAAGGGAACCTAATCTATTAGGTATTAATGAAGCTGGATATAGAGTGACTGCATCATCTTCCTATCCCAATTATGAGCCATTATATTCTAAGCTTGATTCTGATAATAAAGGATTATTTGGTAGAGGATCAGCATGGTGTCCATAAGAAGCTAAATAAGGCTAATACATCTAGATTTCATCAGAATCAGATGAATATTGGGATCATATAATGATCTAAGGTGCTGCAAATGAGGATAAATGGGTAACTTTTGTAGCTATCTATGAATCTAGTGATTTAAAGGAATTCAACCTAGTTGACAATGTTCTGGCTAACACTGATAGTAATTCAAAAACTAAGATAACTTTGAGTGGATAAGAAACAGCCAAAGCTATACGACTCTAACCTATTTTATGGAACAATTTCCCTTGTTTAAGATTTGAAGCGTATATAATTCAGAATTGATTAAATGCTAAATGGATAGATTACCTTTGAGATGTAATTCAATTAAATCTTTGAATTTAGTTCTTAATTTCATTAATCAACTTAATAAAATGCATTGGGGTTTTGGGGTTTTGGGG